TTCTCGCCTACATCGTCCATATAGGACGACTCGGGAACTCAACTCCTACCCCGGGCAGCTCACCTATCCCCTTATGCCCAGGGGAAAGGTATCAAGCCGTTTGACAGCTGATGCTGGCTGTCAAACCGGCTTTTACGCAAAACAGGCGGGAGGCAGCAAACAGCTGCGACCAGCGAAATCGCCTGCCACCGGAAGTCGGAAAATATCAGTCTTGACTTCTGTCTCCCCAAACCTCTGATTATTCTCTTGTCTTACAACTGGAAAAGAGCATATATCCTTTTCCTTATCAATAGAGCCAAACTGTATACTCCATTTTTATCAATTTATCCTCCCTATCCTCACCTCAAATAGATTGTTTTTCCAAATAGCCTTCCACAAAACAGATTTCATTTACCAAAACCAGCCAGTAATCCTCATGGAATAGTTGAAGTCATGTCATTTCCTACCTGTCTTCTCCTTGTCCAAAGGTGAAGGCAATCAAATGACCTCACAGAATAGTCCTTGTGGATATACCCAGCCAAATCTACCATGAGGCTTGAACAGGTGGCAACATTCTTCCAAAAGCATAGGTTCTACTTCTGCTGCCTATAATGTTCTGGGTTATCCATCCAATCTTTACCAGTTGCCTCACTTTCAGTCCACTTTCACTATTCTACTCACTCCTTGCATGCCATCCGTGTCTTCTACCATATAGCCCCTTCAACATACCATTCCCATGTTTAACTAATATTCCCACCTAGATTTTCCTTTGTTGCATATAATCTCAATCTGTCTTTCTTCCCTTCCATTTTCTCTTCAACTGAGTTCTTTCTTTTCCAATGAGCTGACACACTAATGCTTCCATCTTCTCATCTGCCCATAGTTCACCAGCTCACTTTCGCTAATCTTAATTTCCTTCCACTTCATGATGCTATGCAATTACTCTCTCCTCATTATTAATATGTTCTCATATTTAAATTCAAGAAATTAATATCACTTGATTAGTATAGCATTTCCTAAGAGATAAAATTAATTCTGTTTGAACTGGAGACTTGGCTCCCAAATGATGGAATACAGACTTATTTAAATATAGGTCATGCCAAAACTATAGCTCAGCCAGCATTTGAATGAAGTTTCAAACATAAATTATACCCAAAATAACTTAGAAAATAAATATCTTAAATTATGCAAGCTTTGTCATTTCCCTAGTATGTAATACAAATGACAGGGTTTGCTGTCATATTGTCAGCCCTACAAGATGGAGCAGACTAAGAAACAATGCTATGTGTAACAGCTGTAGTTACAGAACCTTGCAAATCTGAATGTGTTGCCACCCTCCTTCACTTTATCTTGATGTGAATTAGAGGGGCTTGTTTTTTTTCAAATTAGTTTCTTGGCCAGACTCAATCCTCTGTCAATCAATTCAGTTTTTTGGTAGTGACTCTTCCTCCTGTCCTTCCAATCCATTTCTTATGCTCTTTACAAGTAAACTGTATTTAGTAATGCAAATTTACTAACACCTACAAACATAGCCAGGTGAAGTGGGCCTGTAACCTTCCAGTTGGGAATAGGC